CTCAAGAACAATACGTATTAAGCTCAAACAAAACTGAAACACTGATTCGTCAATTTGTATCGATTGCAAAAAAAGTAGATAAATTCGTTGTGCTGTTCTAACAACAAACTTGTCTTCTTCAATTTGCACCATATCTATGTGCTTTTATCTTCAACTCACATAATTAATAACATGCTCGATTTTGGCTGATAATAAAGTGAAAACAGCAGTATATTTTGACACTTCAAATTACGATCACTAAGGAGATATTAAACAGTTCAACAGAACCATTGTTCACTGATCTCTTCACTTCTGTTCTTTTATGCTCGAATTTTAACATGACATTGAACAAACTCAGTCAATAAATTAATCAAAATTAACGGAGTACAGTTTGAGGCAGAGAATATGCTCCAACTCAATCGTAAACAAATTGCAGATCTACTGTTAGGATCTGAATCAAAAATCATGTTCAGTGAATTTGAGAGCGGTGGTTTGTGGCCTTCAGAACAGAATAGTTGCTTACATTTGATAAGTTCATTTCGACATATGGCCAAGACAAACGCACATCTAACAAAATGCTGCTGTAAACGTTGAAAAAATGCTCCATATGTAAAAATGACTTACTGAATAGCTAGTAATAAATAATGGTATATATATTTGTTATATGTTCTATTTAACCAACCACAATTGATCACCCATCAGATTAAACTTACGATTAATCTGATCAATTCGAGCGGAATTTCGCAAGAAAATGAAGAAAACTAATGATGAATCACTAGTTTGACAATAATATCGAGTCATTAATTCGAAAAAAAGCATCCAGTAATAACATTCACTGGTTTTGACGCTGATTATTGACGCCATTTGATTTAGGTAATTCGACAGCTGCGAGTAAATGAATGTGTATGTGAGGTTGCTTCATTCAAATGGCAATGAGCTAATAATTTCGCACATTTAAACAATTGATATCGAGAAATATCAATTGTAAACGATCAAAAGTACGAAGGCATCAATTAAGAAAAAATATCACATCAATATTTCTGATTATACTCACATCCCATTCAATCGTCTTTCAAAACATTTGGAATGATTTCGAAATTCTTTTCGCAGATTTCGAAATCTCTGTACTTACCGATGATTTTCGTTTAACACTGACTGTATATAAGTAACAGTAACTTTATTTTCTCTTTCAGACCAAATTACGAAATATGCAATTCACACAAAGCAAAAATTCACAGTTACAACGAAATGAATGGAAGAAATAAATGCACCGTATACTTTCGCAATTAACTGAGTTCAATAGACCAGAACGAGACCGCACCAATTTCACACGTTCTCCTTGTAACGAAGAAGCTTCGGGCTTATTAGGAATCGCGTAGTAAATCGGTCACATTTTTGATTGTTTAATCAATGATGCAAACACACAACTAGATAAGCTTCTTTAACAAAATAATGGAGTTGTAAATTTACTTTCAAAGGACGTCTCAACTAACAATGAGAGAATCGAATAAGAAGATAAATAGAACGCAACGACTTACTGAAAAACAACGGAAAGGGTAAAATTAGTGCATTGGGATATTGAAGAGATTAACAGTTAATCACTGGAAAGCATTTCGAACATTTCAATAAAAAAATGAGCAAAAAAGTCATTCGCAATGAACATAAAATGAATTGCCAATCTATTCTTGACAAACAAAAAAATCAAACGAGAAAAATATCTGAGAAAAATGTCCCATCTATGAGTCATTGCTAAAGAAAATGCGATCGATGTCAAGGACGCAACGAAACAACAGTCTTTCAGAAAAGTGAAAGAATGCTCTCAGAATTAGAATGGGTAAAATTCTTGGAAAAACGAGGAAATAAGTGCATTCAAAAAATAGCCCACAGAAAATATTGATTGTGAAAATGATAATAGGTGTAAATATGCACCCAACAATAGAAAAGAATTATTGAT